CTGGAGTACAGTGGCTCGATCTCAGCTCACTTCAACCTCTGCCTCCTGGGTTCAAGCGATTCTCCTGCCTCAGCCTCCCAAATAGCTGGGATTACAGGTGCCCGCCACCATGCCCAGCTAATTTTTGTATTTTTAGTAGAGATGGAGTTTTGCCATGTTGGCCAGGCTGATCTCGAACTCGTGACCTCAAGGCATGAGCCACTGTGCCTGGCTACCATGATGTATCTTTATTCATCCTTTTACTTTTAACCTCTTTGTGTCTTTATACTTAAAGTATATTTCTTGTAGATAGCATATCACATTAATTTTTTTCAGTTTTATAATCTCTATATTAACTGGGCAATTTAGACTTTTTAGAGGTTGCTCTAGAGTTTCTAGTATATATTTTTGACTTATCACAGTTTCCCTTCAAGTGATAATATACTGCTTGACATTTAGCATAAGAACCTTACAGGGGGGTGTACCTCTTGCTACCTTCCCAATCTTTGTATTTTCTTATTATACGTTTTGCTTTTCTGTATGTTGTAAGTCCCATTCTATGTTGTTAAGCCTTTTCATTAAATTGTCAGTTTCCACATAGTTGTCATTTCCGGTTTATATCCGTATTTCCATCTGATACTGTCCTTTTGCCCGAAGGACTTCCTTTAACATTTACTTAGTGCGGTTCTGGTGATGATAAATTCTTTCAACTTTCATATGCCTGGAGAATCTCTATTTGCCTTCATTTTTTCTAAACAGTTAGTTTACTGATTTTTTATGGCTTTGAGATATAATTCACATACAATTCACTCATTTAAATTGTACGATTCAGTGGCTTTTAGTATATTCAGAGTTGTACAACTATCAGAACAATCAATTTTATAACTCATTCCCAAAAAGCAAGCCCACATCCCTTAAGCCTTCACTCCCCAGTATCCCCCATTTCCTCCAACCCTTGGCAAACATTAATCTACTGTCTGTCTCTATAGATTTGCCTGTTCTGGCATTTCATATAAATGTTGTCATAAAATATGTGTTCCTTTATGACTGGCTTCTTTCACTTCAGCATATTGTTTTCAAAGTCCGTCCATGTTCCAGCATGTATTACTACTTCATTTCCATTTCCTGCCAAATCATATTCCATAGTAGGAATACAGCACATTTTATTTATCCATTTATCAGTTGATGGGCATTTGATTAATTTCTACTTTTTTTGGCTATTATAAATAATGCTGTTGTACTATGAACATCCATGTACATTTTTTTTCACCCTTCCTGAAGTTTGTGGTTTTTTTTAGAGATGGAGTCTTGTTATGTTGCCCAGGCTGGCCTCAAAGTCCTGGGTTCAAGTGATCCTCCACCTCAGCCTCCTCATAGCGGGGAATATAACACTATGCGGCACGCTCAGTTATCTTCCTGCTGGCTAATGATGATTGTCTTTTCATGGGATTACTAGTCATTTGCACATATTATTTGGAGAACTCTTCCAATCCTTTGCTCATTTCTTAAATGAGTTAAATTGTAAATCTTATTTATATATTCGAATACATATTTGTATTTCAAATTGTATGTATGAGAGGTCTTATACGTATGATTTAAAAAATTTTTTCTCTTAGAAGTAGATTGTCTTTTCACTTTTCTTGAAGGTATCCTTTGAAGCACAAAAGTTTTTTTGTTTTTAATGTTAATGAATCCAGTTTATGCATTTTTCTTTTTTGCTTGTCTTTTTAGGATATCTCAGAATCCACTGCCTAATCCAAGGTCATGAGGATTTACACCTGTGTTTTCTATTAAGAGTTATATGGTTTTAGCTCTTATGTTTCGATCTTTGATCCATTTTGAGTGAATTTTTATATATGGTATGAAGTAGGAGTTTAAATCCATTCTTTTGTGAGTGGATCCAGCACTATTTGTTGAAAAGATTATTATTACCCCCCACTGAATTGTCTTGCACCCTTTAAAAATGCATTTACTGTAAATGTAAGGTGGCACATCTGAACTCCCAATTGAATTTCACTCATCTATATGTTTATCCTTACGCCAGTACTACACTGATTACTGCAGCTTCATAGTAAGTTTAGGAATTAGGACGTGTGAAAAGAAATAGGCAAAACTTTGTTCATCTTTTCCAAGATTGATTTGCCTGTTTTGCCTGTGTTTGAAACATATTTTTGCTGATGCAGAATTAGAGGTTTACCTTTTAAAATACATTATATATGTCGCTCTGCTCTTTTAAGGTGTGTTATTCTGAAAAATGCTCGCTGAAATCCTTAGCTTTGTTTCTCTGTCTGGAATGTGTCTTTTCCTAGCTGCCTTTAAGACTTCATCACTGGTTCTGAGCAACTTGGTTATGATATGTCTTGGTGTATTACTCTGTCGCTGGAGTGCAGTGGCGCAGTCTCAGCTCACTGCAACCTTGATCTCCCGGGCTCAAGCGATTCTCCTACCTCCCAAGTAGCTGGGACTACAGATAGACTCCATCATGCCCAGCTAATTTTGTTTCTTTTTTGTAGAAATGAGATCTCACTATGTTTCCCAGGCTGGTCTCAAACTCCTTCCTTCAAGTGATCCTCCTGCCTCAGCCTCCCAAAATGCTGGGATTACAGGTGTGAGTCAGAGTGCCAGACCTTGGGGGAACTTCTTATATGTGTGAATTGATTGTTTTTATTAAATCTAGAAAAATTTTTGACTCTTATTTCTTCAAATATTTGTTCTTTTCCCTTTTCTCTCTTATCTCCTTCAGGGACTCCAATTAAGCCAATATTATGTCACCTGCAGTTGTCACACAGCTCACTGATGGTCTTTTCATTTAAAAATTTTCTTTCTGTGTTTTTTCATAGTTTATATTGCTACATCTTAAAGTTCACCAATATTTTCTATGGTAGGTAATACCATTTTCTATGGTGTGGTATTAACAAATACCATCCAGTGTTTTTTTGTTTTGTTTTTTGTTTTGTGTGTGTGTGTTTATCCCAGACACTAGTTTTCATCTCTGGAAGTTCGACTTGGACCCTTTAAAAAATACATCTTCCATGTTTCTACTTAACTTATGAATCTATGTAATACATTTATAATAACTGTACTTGCCTGGCATTTCTAACATCAGTTTCAATTTCTTTTTTTTTTTTTTGAGATGGAGTCTTGCTCTGTCGCCCAGGCTGGAGTGCAGTGGCGCAATCTCGGCTCACTGCAACCTCTGCCTCCCTAGTTCAATCAATTCTTCTGCCTCAGCTCCAGAGTAGCTGGGATTACAGGCACCCCCCACTGGCTAATTTTTTTTTTTTTTTTTTTGTATTTTAGTAGAGATGGGGTTTCACCATGTTGGCCAGGCTGTTTAGAACTCCTGACCTCAAGTGATCCACCTGCCTCGGCCTCCCAAAGTGTTGGGATTATAGGCATGAGCCACTATGCCCCGCCTTCAGTTTCTTAATATTTCTCATTTTGAGCACATTTGCTCCTTCTTTGGAGGTTGGTTATTTTATTGGATGTGAAACATTATTAATTTCATCTGTCGGGTACTAGCTGTTTTTAGCATTGTTGCGATTTGACCTGGGATGTAGTTATTTGGAAACAATCTGATACTGTCAGCTCATGCTTTTACAGTTTAGTAGGCAGGACTGGAGCAGTGCTTCACCTAGGGCTAGTTATTCCCCACTATCAGGGAGACACCTTTCTGTGTACTCTACCCAGTGCCCCATGAATAGTGAGCTTCTCAGTCTCGGTGGGAACAAGCACATTTCCTGGCCCTTGTGAATACTGGGCACCTCTCATCCTTTCGGGTGATTTTTTTTCCACACCCTCAAGTATTTTCCTCCCACACATGCCCTGGTTAGTATTCAGCTGAATCCTTGAACTGAAGGTCTCTGGAGTTCTCTCTTCATACAGCTCTCTTTTTTCCAGGACTCTCTTCAGTACAATATAGTCACCGTGATCTTTTCCGACTCTCTGCTCCATCAACTCACAGTCTGCCAGACTCAGCCTGGGGTTCGCCGCCTTGCACAAAAGCCTGGAAACACTCTCCAGCCAGTAATCCAAGGCAATCATTGGCTCACCTAGTCTGTTTTCCATCTCTCAGGGCTCCTGGTTCCTTTGCTGCCTGATAGCAATGTCTTCAAAACCACTGCTTCGTATATTTTGTCCATGTTTTGTTGTTTTAAGTAGTAGGAAATAAATCCAATGCCTGTTACTCCATCTTGGCCAGAAGTCTCAAGACAATTTTAAACATCAATTTGTCTACAAGTTTTCCAAAGATTTGCTGATCTTTACAGGTGGAACTCTTCCTCCTCCCCATATGCTAGCTCATTTCAAAATATTCCTGAGAAACTGCTACCTTCTGTCTGTGTGGCACATTAGAGCTAACATCAGAATTTCACATATTGAGATAACATTGTTTTGTTTGGGGAAAAATGTGATTTATGTCATACTGATAATAAGTTCATTTTTATGTGAAAAAGGGTATCTGGCAAAAAAAAAAATAGAAAAATTTTAGGATCAACCTTTTTCTTCTGGATAGATCTAAATCCACATCCCTACAGGTAACAACAACAGTCTCATCTAAGGTTTTCAAATAAGCATTCGTTTTGAGTTTACTCACTGTGGTGGGCGCTGGTCCTGCTCATCTCCACAAGGCTGATATCATACTGGACTGAACCTGCTCTCTGAAATGGGCCCTTCCTGACAATAAAGAGGAAAGAAACACAAAAATGGAAAATGAGTAATAGGAAAAGCATGTAAGAAGACCTAGAAAGAACGTTTTTTTTTTTTTTTTTTTAATTTCTCTTTTTTTCCCCCTTTTTACAACACATCATGGTATTCAAATGAAAGTATAACTTGACTATCTGAAGGTTCATTTTCCTTCCACAACTACCTGACATTGTCAGGGCTACTTTAAAACTGTTCCCCATTATTTAACAAATCCATTAGTACACACAGGTCATCTGTGGGGACTTCAGATGCTGATGACCTGGACTTTTTAAGACAGCAGCAAAGCTGTTGTATCTTAGTGTTATTTTTGTGCCCTTTTTAAAAAGGTTAGCTTTATCAGTTGGGACTCTTATGTGACATGGGGTGGCTTTAGTCAGTTATTCTAGTAATGGCATTTTAAAAAGACATTTTGGACATTTTCAAGGTAACAGTACATCAGGTTTTTCAGTCATTTGATCAATTAATATATGTTATAATTTATGTGATGATTTGGGAATGTACAGCGATTTCATTTTTTCAATATGTCTTTTTTTTTTTTAAAGCCAGTCAAATTTAGCAGTGGGGCATTGTATACCAACTTTAGTGACACTAATGTTAATAAGTTCTGATAGCCCACTACCATTGGACCAGCCTCAATATGTCTATATGCAATTTTAGCTGAGATCAATGAAAATGAATTCAGAACCACTTTTACCACTGCAAAATGGTATGTATTTTCTAAAAGCATACTGGCTTCTATTCCTGAAACACTACTGATTCTAGCCCAGATTTTAGCATTAGTGGGGTATCATTTTGGACCTCATTCAGTGATGGCACTAATTACTCACTAAAGTTCAAAAGGCCCTCAGTTTAAAGCAATTTCAACCACTAATGGACCGAAAACTATGACAGAAAACAATTTCATTCTTGAAAGCACCACATTTTCAAGAGAGAAATACATTTCACATGGTCACTACAGAACAGCCTAGATCTTATGTCATGCTTTCTATTTATCCTGTTTTCTAATTTTTAATTTTCCTTTTTATGTATTTTTAACTAATTGGTTATTTTTAATTCAATGTTTGTCATTCTGCTAATTTGGAAATCATACACTTTGATTTTCTGTTATGTGTTTCCCTAGACATTTTAATATTCATGGTAAAATATCAAGGTCAAAATTACCTCATATAGTTATCCTCCCCTACATAAAGACCTTAGTACACTTTAGTTACAATCCTTTCAACTTGTTTGCTATCATGCATTTTAACTCCTTTTTAAAAATACATAGGACAATTTTATTGTTACAATTTATACAATATTTGATTTACTCACATATTAATAGCTTTCTCTGTTCTTTCTTGCATTTCACACAAGCCATATAGGATCAACTTCCTTTTCCCTGACATATATCCTTCAGGCAGAAGGTTTACTCAGGGATAACGCTCTCAAATTTTGCTTACCAAAAGTTATCTTCATCTTACCCTCATTCCTCAGAGATGTTTTCACTGCCACAGAAATTTGGTGTTGATAACTGTTTTCTCTCAGTGTATTGAAAATATCACTGCTCTGTGTTCTAGATTTACTTCTTTCTGACTGAGAAGTCAAGCTTTTGGTTTAATTATAGCATTTTTTATGATAATCTGCCATTCTTTTCTACTTTTGTGATGTTCTCTTTAGAATTGGTGTTTTACAATTTCTCTGTTTCACCACATGTAAATTTATTTTCATTTGTCCTGCTTGAGATTTGTTAGGCTTCTAACATCTGTGGGTAACTTTCATCAGTTCTGAAAAGGTCTCTTTTTCAAATGCTGCTTCTGCCCCAGTCTCTCTTTTCTTCTGAAATTCCAATTAAGCATAAGTTAGACACATACGCTCTGGTCACTATGCTTCTTGACTTCTCTTCAGTATTTTCCATTTCTTTTTCTCTGAGGATTGCCCTCTGGGTAATTTTTCCTATTTTCCAATTAATTACTTATTTTATTGTGTTTGATCTGCTGTTTAAAGACATACATTAAATTTTAAAAATTTATTGAACTAAGATATGTACTGAATTTTAAAAAAATATATTTGATTTGTGGGAGATCTGTTTGGGTCTTTGCCAAATTTGCTTATTTCTAAGCCTCTCATTTTTTGATACATATTAAACATATTTATGTCATGTGTCTGATTCTTCCAATAAATACATATTTCTGAATATCTGGTCCTACTACCTATTGTTCCTGCTAGTTCTAATTAATTGAGCCTCTTTTCTTCTATGTTTGGTAATCATTTCATAATGTGAGGCACTTTTTTTTTTTTTTTTTTTTTTTTTTTTTTGAGACGGAGTTTCGCTCTTGTTACCCAGGCTGGAGTGCAATGGCGCGATCTCAGCTCACCGCAACCTCTGCCTCCTGGGTCCAGGCAATTCTCCTGGTGAGGCACTTTTTAAGGTAGAGGATGAGGGTAGGCTTTTCAAGAATTGATTCGTATTTGTTTCTGGTCAACCACCTGAAGACATTACCAGCCTGGATTATTTTATATCCTTAGCTTTTTACCCCCAGACATTCAGATAGTGTGAATTCAGGATAGAGACCCACATAATGTTTGTGATTGGAGGTTTCTTTTCTCTTTTCTCTTGTATTCAGCACCACTTCATTCATATATATATATATATATATATATATATATATATACACACACTCTTTTCCTTCTATTATACTTACACTTTCTACTCAAAAGGTATTGTTTAACCTGCTATAGTGTACTTCAGACTAGAAGTATTTCTAAGTTCTGGCTCAAGTCTGCAGAGCAGCTATGGCTTAGAAGGACTCTTTTCTGAAACTTTGCTGCTCTGGGGCATTGAACGCCTGTGTGTACAATATACTGTGCCCTTCACAAACTCAATGGTTGGCAAAGGAAATTTCATTTTGGGGCAACTACAACAATATGAAAGTTCCATTAATTAATTAATTAATTAATTTTTTTGAGACAGGCTCTTGTTCCCTCACCCAGGATGGAGTGCAGTAGTGCAATCATAGCTTACTGCAGCCTCTCATTCCTGGCTTCAACTGATCTTCCCATCTCAGCCTCTCAGGCAACTAGGACTACATGCATGTGTTACCACACCTGGATAATTAAAAAAATAATTTTTTTTTACAGATGGGATCTCGCTATGTTGTCCAGGCTCAACTTAAACTCCTGGTCTCAAACTCCTGGTCTCAAGTGGTCCTCCCACCTTGGCAGGATTCCAGGCATGAGCCACTACACCTGGCCCAAGTTCTATGGATTTAGTATCACACAAATCACTCTCAACAATTCCCAGCAGAATAGTAGATATTCTTATAAATTTTTTGGTTGCTATGTTAGATATGTATTTCTGGCTTTTTACCATATGGGCATAGGGTTGAATTGCATTTCCTGATACTCAGATATATTATATGTAAATAATATATATACACATATAAATATATAAATAAATATTATCTATTTAATCTATCTATATAAAATAAGAGAGCAATCTTGTTCTCTTGCCCAGGTTGGACTGCAATGGCATAATCACAGCTCACTGTATCTCAGACTCCTGGGCTTGGGGGATCCTCCTGCTTCAGCTTCCCGAGTAACTGGGACTACAGATGTGTGCCATCATACCCAGCTAATTTTTTTTTTTATTCTTCATTTTGTAGAGACAGGGTCTTGACAGCTCGCCCAGGCAGGTCTCAAACTCCTGGGCTCAGGCAACCCTCCCACTTGGGAATACAGGCATGAGCCACCATGTCCAGCCACCTCTTATAATTGAGGAGGACCATGAAACTCCTGGCTAATGAATTATGTCAGAAGTGACGTGTGTCACTTCTGGGACAGATCATTTCAATTTAAGCGTGAGACATTCCAGAGCTTTCGTTTCCCTTTGACAAGCAGCAGCACTCAAGATGGGGTTGCTCCAACGGTTTGAGTCCTTAAGTGACTATGATTAGCAAAGCCCTGCTTGCCAATCCATACTAATTACCTACAATAAGTGAGAAATAGTCTTCTGTTTATTAAGTCACTAAACTATTAGGGTTGGTAGTTACTGTAGCCAAACCTAGACTATCCTGACATATTAATGACAATGAATTAAACATAATTCATTATCCAATCAATAACAGATGGAAACTATATCTCCAAATTGGCACCAGAGTGATTAATAAGGGAAGTAGATATTGGTCTTCCCCTTAGCATATTAGACTGACAAAATGTTTAGGGGGATAGAATAAGAATAGATCATTATTCAGCTTTCCAAACACTGATACATTTAAACTCAAGCATAAACCTAATTCCAAAGATGGGTCTTCTGGTTATCTACTTATGCATAACATACTTCTCCAAACTTGGGGGATAAAACAACTTTATCTCATGATTTTGTGGGTTGACAGCTGGCTATCTTTTACTTGGGTTCTCTGTGTGGTTGCAGTAAACTGGCAGTTAAGTCAGGAGTCAACTAAAGGTTCCAATGAGCTGAATGTCTGGGATGGCTCATTAAAAAGGCTGGTTGATGCTGGCTGTTGGCTGGAAGTTCACTTGGGGCTGGTTCTTCCTGCTGTTTCGGCTTCTTACAACGTGGTGGCTAATTCTGTGAGGGAGCATCCCAAGTATGAGCGGCAAGAGATGGAAACTTCCACGACATGTAAAGGCGATTTCCTTAATTGGAACAGTATCATTTCCACAATATTTTATGATCAAGGCAGTCATAGTGTCTGCCCAGATTCAAGGATTCTGTAGCAATAAACTCTACCTCTTGTTGATGAGTGTCAAGGTCACACTGCAGAAGAGTATGTGGGAATAAGAGATGTCCTGTGGCGATCCCTGGGAAATGCAGTCTGATATAGCAGGCTTGTATTTAAATTTTTGTATCTGAAGTAGTCAGATGCTAAAATTATGAGAAACTCGATTGCATTGCTAAAATGATATGTTTTGGAATAAACTATTTAATGCCACATATTTAAAAAAAACCCAGTTTCCTCAACTTTTAATTATTCCTTGATGTAAAGTAGTTAAGAAATCAGGATCTAACAAGATACTATTTTACCTACATGTTACCTTTCTTAGTATATAAACTTCTCAAGCCCACTTGCATCTCTTTTATGATTACCTTCACCTCCATTTTCACAAGTATCTATGATAGAATACAGTGTGAGTTTAATAAATATTAACGATGAATTATGCCACATGACCCCTAAACTTACTAAATTCTGTATTTCCTTACTTTCACAAAATTTCAAAAACAATTGAAGATCAAAACGAATGAAAGTAATCTTCGGTGCATATAATTGCTTTATGCAAGTAGTTTTTTCTTTTGTCTCCCTTGTGAGTTACCAGTTTCCCCAAATTAATTGCCTATTTATTTGTCTAGCTCTCGAAATTGATTTAAATATCTCTAAAGTTAGGAAACATGTCTACTTTGTCAATTATTGTATTCTTTATGCCTAGCACACAGTAGGCACTAAACAGCTGGCCCTGCACATTAACCATGTCTAAGCTAACATGTACAGTATTGCATAAGTGTTCCTTTTTTTTCACATACAAAATTTACTTTAAATACAACTAACCCAAATGTTTAGTTGCTTTTGGTATATTTGCTATAGTGAGTATGGCTCTACCTTAGTAGTTCAGATAAGTTAAATATTGACAACAGTAACAAAGAACAAATTGAGACTGCCTATTGAGACGCTTTCAAAAATGATGTTAAGAACAAAATCTATATTAAAGAGACAACTAAACATAATACAGTATCTGGAAAAATATCTAGAACTAAAGGGCATATTGATTCTTTAGTGGAATAACTACTTTATGCATTACTTTTCACAAAAGCATGTTTCTATTTTGGTTACCTGCAAAGGAAGTAGAAGGCTCCAATGATAAGTGTTGCTAGGGCTGCCACTGCCATGAAAGCTGCAAACAGGTCACTTTTAGTTTGGATGCTGGAGCTTAGGAGAAAAACCTCTTCACAACGAGCTCCTGTATAGTTTTCAATGCACCTACAGAATAAAATTTTAGATAAAGAATTGCATTCTGTGTTTCATTAGTTAGTTTGGAAGGAAAATGGTTTCCAGCTAATGTAAAAAAAATGAGACTAATTTTCAGATTGTGAACATGGAATAGACATGCTCTCCTATAATGTTCACAGAGCTATAGTTACAATAAAACAAATGTGAATTTGTTACAATAAAACACATTTTCACTATCTTCTTTTTCCAGTTTTCTAATTGCTTAGGAACTCCAGAGAAATTATATTCAGTGTTTTTACCTTCTAGATTTTCAATGATATAATTGTCCATACTTTATCAAAAACTTACTTTTTGTTGTGTCTGGTATAGACAATGATCTAAATGCATTTTTCCTTAAAATTGCTAACTGGTTATTACAACCCCATTTTAAAATAATCAGTTCATTACCCACTTTAACAGTGCCTCTTTTAACATAGTCAGATTTATGTCAATAACAGCATTTATTTCTATTTGTCTTCAATGATCTACACATCTCATCTGGGGCCTTTGCCATACTGCGTCAATACTGTTACTTTATAGTATGTTTAAATATCTGGTAGTTCTACTCCTTATCTTATTACTTTTGTCTATAGAATTTTAAAAATATTCTCTACTGCCAACCAAATATTTTATGGCTAATTACTTGTAGATCTCTAAAACTGTATTAACAAAGAACCATAAGATTTGATATTACCAGTCATTCCTTTTTCCTTGTTAATATGTTCAAAGGACTATAAAACACAGAGATTGACATAAGTTAACGAAAATGACACTGGCACCAGATCAATTTCAACATTTTATAGTAGCATTTAAAATAAAAAACACTTATTAGCTAATAATTATAAAGCAACCCAAAAAGTTATGGAGTCAAGTTGGACCACACTATACTCAGCAATAATTCTGTGTAAAAAAGTGTGGGTGTGTGTAAAACCAATTTGTTTTAACATTATTTTGTCAAAAATAGAAAGGTTGATTCTACTAAATTAATTCTCTTCCTATTCCTTTCCAGTTAAGGTAGGTATTTAGAAATTTTACCTCTGTTTCTCCCACCTTAGACTAATAAGGATACAGGCCTAGAAAATCAACATGTGAACTAACTACTAGCTTTGACAACTAATGTGATAGAGTAATAAAGCAGTATACAAATAAATAAGAGAAAAGAACATCAAGATAAAGCACAAAGGATCAATTTTAGTTAGATGAGCATATGAAAGATGTTTCATGAACTTCAAGTCCTACTCAGTGTGAGGCAGTGATGTGACTGGTAATAGCTTCCAGGGGAGCTATTAGTTAAGCAAACGGCAGCCTAGATTCTCTTAAACTACCATAAAGATAAGACTGAGGAGACATAGGGAAAGTAAGGATAGGAGATCAGTGGTAAACTTAAATGAAAGTAAAAATATTTTGGAGGGCCAGGAACAATGGCTCACACCTCTATTCCCAGCACTTTGGGAGGTTGAGGAGAGAGGATCACTTGGGGCCAGGAGTTCAAGATCACTCTGGGCAGCACAGCGAGACCCTGTCTTTACAAAAAATTGAAAAATTAACCAGGCATGGTGTTACCTGCCTATAGTCCCCGCTACTCTGGAGGCTGAGGTGGGAAGATCACTTGAGCTCAGGAGTTCAAGGTGGCAGTGAGCTATGGTCATGCCACTGCAGTCCAGCCTGGGTGACAGAGCAAGACCCTGTCTCAAAATAAATAAGTAAATACATGAGGTGGAAATCACAATTATATTAATTTTAAATATAAATTACCAAATTTTCCATAGCTTAGGTCAGTTAAATAAGCTGAGGAGAAAGAAGATTAGATGAAAATAATTTGTTTCTTTCTCTTCTAGCTCCAATTCCTGCTTCCCCAAAGGGAAATGGAACACACACACACACACACACACACTATGGAACACACACACACACACACACACAATAGGAAGTCGACATAGAGACCGTCTTCACAATCTATCCATGTGCCATCACAAAATAAACAAAGAAGGAAAGGGGCAGCATTCCACACAGTAGAAGAACTGATACTAAACTTAGTTTTCAAAAGTATCTTTAACAAAAATAAAATAAAAACCCTTCTATAATTCCCCTATTTTTTAAAAAATATAATTCAGTAGGTAACAATTATTTGCGACTGCTAAAGGTTTTTTAAGGAAAAATTTTAGCCATGAGAGCAATTCCTGTATACTTTTAAAATAACTCTCAAGTTTTTAAATAATGTTAAAGATGGGGTTCAGTTTCCATCCTAGAAAAAATAACCAGAGCCATAGATAATCCTGAAATGAGACAGTATAATTATTTTTGATAAGGCAGATCTCTTTTAAAAGCTACAAACTCATTACGCAGATTTCTTAAGGCTGAGTTTAAGTAAGATTGAAATTCAGGCCAGGCATGGTGGCTCATGCCTGTAATCCCAGCACTTTGGGAGGCTGAGGCGGGAGGATGGTTTGAGCCCAGGAGTTTGAGACCAGCCTGGGCAACATGGTGAGACCCCATCTCAACAAAAAATAACAAAAATTAGTCAGGCTGGTGGTGCATGCCTGTGGTCCCAGCTACTCAGGAGGCTGAGGTGGGAGAATCACTTGAACCCAGGTCAAGGCTAGTGAACCGTGCGTGATTGCACCACTGAACTCCAGCTGAAACGACAGTGAGATGCTATTTCGAATAAAAAAAGAAAAAAAGTCAAAGAAAAAAAAATAAGTCAGCTTATATCACTAACCATAAATGTTTTACCTGGACAATAAATACTTTGATTTGGAAGGAGTCAGGGGAATGGTGTAAATACAAGTTTGTATTCAGGTCAGGGTTTATGCAAATAGAAAAAGGCATACAAAGTAAACTAAGCAACACTAGGTTGTTCTGTTGTCTTACAGCTGGAATAATGCAAACACGTGTTCTTGTGGGAAAGCAGAAACCTGATGGTAACTTTAAGCAAATCAAAGAATAAACAATCTTATCATTGTTAAGTCAAACCAGAATCTAGGGAAAGGCAAAGACAAATTTAAATATTACATTACTATCTAGGAAGTAGGATTGGCTAACCTAAAAATGAATTTTTAAATTTCAGTTATTTACCAAACAAAAAGTAAACACTGCCTACCAGTGACTGTGTAGAAGGATTCTACTTTTAAAGCTGTAGCTCATTTATGAAAATGTTATAACCTCAGTGATGACACAATTATCAAATTCCAGGCAAAGAATTAATCGACTCCTCCAAAAGTAAGTAAGGGTGGATTAGGCAGACATAGACAGCTCGTAGTGCTAGCACAGCATGGACACAAAACGCAAAGAGGCCATGTTGCACAGCATTTACACGGAACAGCGTAGCTCTCAGTCTTTATGTAAGTAACTCTCTTGCTAAATTATTTCTGGACCTTACTTCTGCACAGACTGCCAAGTAGCAAACAGTTGTGCCACCGAATGAGGTGAATACCGAGCAATAAGGGATCACGCGTGTTTTCCTGGAATTGAAGACGGATGCTGGAACAGGTACAAATGCTCTACCAGGTGAGAAATCCCAAAATTCAGATTCCAAGTTACACAAATTGGTTTTCTGGCTGAATACCACCAATTATCTGCCCCCCAACACAGAAGCTACATCTGCTACATTGACATAAAATAAATTCATTCGATTCTGTGGCATTCAAGGAAGTTGTTACAACATAGGAGACCTTTCACATGAATAAAAGAACTAAGTTTTCAGTCATGTAAACAAATAGAGTGCCATTTAGCTTGAAGAAAGATTATTGGACCGTGAACTGGAAAAAACTGGTTTCTTCACCCTATTTCCATGCTTGTTGGCTATGTGATCTTGGGCCAGTTATTTAAGACTCTGTAAATCAAAATAACACCATGTACATCTCATAGGGCTATCGTCAGAATCAAGTAAGAATCTCTAAAAGTGCTTTGAACACTGAAACACCCTACAGAAGTGTGTTTACAAGGAATAAAATACCTAAGAAAAATTATAACTAGAAAGGGTTAAGAGCATGGTGATCAATAAATGTGCTATTATTAAATATTTCTCAGGAAAAAACCCATGTTTGCAATATTATCAAAGACTTCACTAACCAAAGGGAGATGCAATGTCAGCGCCACTTCACTTGGGCTGGTCTGTCCTGGAAAGAGAAAGTCTAATACTGGCATATGTCAAAGCTGGCTTCCAGGAACCTGATACTCTGTGTCAACCAAAGTTCAATTTGAAAATCATGGAGAATGGAAAAAAACAAATCAAAAATAAAGCTATTAGAAGTGTTCCAGAAAACAACGTGGACTTGCATCCCTTTAATAAGTCCACAGCCATGTAAGATCACACAAATGTAGCCAAAATCCTATGAAACCCTTACCAGATATTTATAGGCCAAGAAACGATGAGAGAAGACTAGCTTGTGACCTTTGTGTCTCCTATTAGCTAGCGCTATAAATGTAACTTCATTAAAGTCTTTATTGGATTCTTAATAATGTGTAGAGATATTTAGCTAACATTCAACCTCAGAAAATTTTTATTGTTTAATGTCACATTTATAAGACATTAGCACCATTAAAAACTGACTGTTATTAGTACATCAAATGTACTTAATTAGTAAATCAGTAAATTTAAGTCCAGTTAGGAAGCAAATCTTAGATTCTCTTTTTTTTTTTGAGATGGAGTCTCACTTTTGTCACCCAGGCTAGAGTGCAATGGCACGATCTCAGCTCACTGCAACCTCCGCCTCCCAGGTTCAAGCAATTCTCTTGCCTCAGCCTCCGGAGTAGCTGGGAACTCAGCCATGCACCACCCTGCCCTGCTAATTTTTGTATTTTTAGTAGAGACAGGGTTTCACCATGTTAGCCAGGCTGGTCTCGAACTCTTGACCTCAAGTTATCCACCCACCTTGGCCTCCCAAAGTTCTGGGATTACAGGTGTGAGTCACCGTACCCAGCAGCAAAATCTTAGATTCTTTTAAGATTGACTGTTACCCAGATAATTTATATGCTGAGATGAACTACAC